TGCAGCAAATAGAGTGGCTGCTCTCTCTGTCTTTTATCAAACGCCTTTTCTTTTTTTACAGGATTTTCTTCTGGAACCGGGATGTTCGTGAGTGAAATTGGTTCGTGTGTGGTGTGTTTCTCCTGCCGTGTGGCTGGACACAGGAACCAATCGAACCTGCTGTACTTGTATTGGCTCCTGTGTGGTCACAGAGGTTTGGAGAATCGGCAGACAATTCTTAAATCGTGCCGTGTGAACCAGACTTAAGACTCATAAGCTCTACTCCTCTCTCTCGTCTCGACCACTGCCCTAACGCTCTCTGACTCTGGTCGCTATGGTAACGTTTACACATCCATTCAAAATAAGATTCAGATGCGCAACAAGAACAAACATTTTATTTTCATGAAAATTTTAACTCACGATAACGACAAATTAATGGGAGCCCTGCGCTTGTTTCTTAGAAACGAGACGGTCACATCTGGGAGTGATGAGAAACAATGACACCCAAAGTGTTGCTTATGGCAAAGCAGTTTGAAGCTTTGTTGCCTCATTAGCAGGTCGCCGCATATCATGCAAGATCGGGCTTGGAATGTGGGAATCACCACATATGCGAATGTGGGAATACTGGGATAAATCCATTCTCCTGTCTCTTCTCTGGGCCTTTTTCCCCTTCACAAAGAAACTATCCAAAAACATCTGATCTGTTTCTTACTCATTTTGCTGCTTGTGGGCTCAGTGTTGGCGCTCAAGACGTAACTGAGAGAATTTGGTTAAAGGATTTTCAAAATAAAAGATCCTCGAGACTCAGATAATGCATAACAGAAATATTTATTTGTTGTGCGGTCCGGTACCAATTGGTCCACGGCCCGGGAGTTGGGGACAACTGATCTAAGCCCATCGGGAAGTTGGACACTTTGTATCAAAGCTACCATTTTGTTTCTTTTATGCATGTCGTATCTGAACGAACTCCTCTTAAGGCTTTTGAGGTCTTCAAAATCAGTCAGCACAGGCTTGAGGCATTGAAGGTCAAAAGTTATCAAAATCTTTTTTTGTACATTAAAGTATGTGGGTGTGGTCAACCCTCAAAACCTGACTATTCGCCTTGAAACATCGAGGTGGAATAACTTCCACACAAAAGCTCCCACATGCATCAAATGTTTTGGGTCATCACAGACTAGAGTTAATCACATTCATATGGTCAATTGGTGACATCACCTTAGCCACACCCCCTTTCAACAAGAAGTCACAGTTTTCCCAGTTTTTCTTCTTTTTACTACATCATGATGGTAAATCCTCTCAACACTAGCTGCTGGCAGGAGTACGTGGGCATGGCTGAATGGCGATTTCTAATCCTTCGCCATATGTATATGGTTGTCTCTAAATCATACATGCATCATCTGATTTGCACCAATCTTGATATGATTGACCTATAACCTCTAAAGAGCCCAATAGACTTAAATTGTAATTTGACTCCACTGCGGCCCCTAGGCCCATAATCTATATTTCCTTAACGCATCGATTGATCTGCACCAGATCTTCAGGAAGGACTGCTGAACACATCAGTGTGCATCACCTAGTGGATGGGTGCAGGAACTGCGCAAGAGCGATGACGTGGCGAGTGGGTGGCGTTGCTGGAGCTCCTGCGGTCACCATTAGAGCAGGGCCATGCCATTGAGCCTCAAGGGCCTCCAATGCTACTTGCAGCTTTAATTTAAGTTGTATTGGGTAGGCAGTTGGAACTCCTAAGCTTCTCTTGAGACCTCTGTGTTGAGGTCCAAATGACACAGCTATTGCACTTAGGCATGTCGTGATAAATCAATTAATTGCACGATAAATGAAAATTATCGACCTAATTTTAATTTATCGTCTTTATCGTTTCTTCCTGCTTTTTTCTCATTCTATTTATGACACTGAATGAAAAAAAGGCTCTACTCCAGTGGCTCTCCACTGACCCCTCCCTTTCTCATTTCCTTTGTGTAATGCTCAGTTCACACTACACAATTTTGGAATTGTCAGCCGATTGCCCATTTTCAAAACCTGAGAGACACACTAGCTGAAAAAAAAAATCGGATGTATAACTGGTTCGATCAGCTTCAATCGTGCTGTGTGTGTTGTCCAGCCACACGGCAAGAGCAACATACCACACACAAACCGATTTATCTCACCGACATTCAGATTTCAGATAGAAAATCCCGTAAAAATCCACTACAGCATATGTGAATTTAGAGTAAACAACCTATTTATGTCTCGTTAACGATGAACAGCTGAAAGGTTACCAGGTATATCAATTGCGGTAGCAATTTCATTCCCACTCTCCTTGTCATTTATGCAGAAATTCTTTGCATGAAATGTTGAATAAACATTAATGTTGTTTCCACATATCATGTCCGATGTACACCGGACTTTGGGTTGCGCCGTGTCAGCTGTTTGGGATTCCCCTCCGTGCTCTCCCCTCAGAAAGCACGGAGGGGAATCCGTGCTTTCTGATTGGCTATCTGTCACATTCACCAGGCTGTGTTCTTGCTCCCAGTCGAGGAAAACCCCACACACTGCGATAAACTGGCCAAAACAATCCAAGGTGTTGCATATGCGGCTGATGGTTGCTCGCTGTGGTCCTAATAGTGATGTGTTTGTGTTCAGAGAGCCTTAGGGAAGCGCTGGAGAAGCTGAAGCTGGCGTCTACAGACAATACCACTGACAGCACGGAGAGCAGCCTGGACTGCCTGCTGAGCGCACTCACCCAAAACAGTGAGTACAAGCTATAGATTCTACTTGGTGTGTTGTAAGTACACTGATCCACTTCAGTTTATGGAGACTGCTCTCACCATCAGAACTCACAAATATCTTTATATCCTTGATGTGTTTCAAAGGACCAACAGAGTGATGATCAGATGGTAGCTCAGTTAGTCCAAGTGTGAAATGTGCTGAGGATGAGTGTGCTGATGTAATGCCAGAAGGCTGAGCAATGTTTAAGGGTAGACATACTGTGTGCAATGGGCACATTTTTTTTTTAGTTTACTGTATTAGTACTGTTTCACGATTAGCCAACCTTCAAGCTGTATTGAAGGCAGGCTAGCTGAGTATGGACAGTAACGGCCAGAAGAATTGACAATGAGACAACTGTTGTACTCTACAACATTTGCTGCTTTGGTTTTATTGCTGATGGTTTAAGATTTTTAGATTACTCCTCCATTATTGGTTTCTTGGTAACGGCTTAACAACCAGGGAGTTACAACTCTCAGTTTTCCGCCACTCAGGCTACAAAAGTACATACAGCTACAAAAGTTGAAAAAGTTTCAACTTTCTGTCTGTGCACGTCTCACACCGCACAAACTCCATAGAAATGAATGAAGAGCGCTGTCTTCGGTCACTGTGTGACCATTAGCTCAGTTACCTGCTGGGCCCCTAGTCTCCAACCACAGAGCATAGCATAAAGCCCAGTGAGGAGGAGCAAAATGGGGAAACGTAGGTTTAAAAAGCCGAACGTGACAGCTGCAGTCTCGTAGCACTTTAGATTCAAACTGAATGACCGTGGTGAACGTCTGAACCTGTGGAGCCGCTATGTGATAAAACTGTAGCAACTAAACAATATAACTGGGCTGAAACGATTCCTCGAGTGATTTGCGTAGCTTGATTATTAAAATTCCTTGAGGAAAATTTATCTGCCTCAAAGCGTCGTTCAGTTATATTTTATTATTTAGCGCACCATGTTCCAGCTGGGTTATTACTTGCGCTGCGCAGTGATCTCACTTCCACCTGAGTTGTTGACGAAAGCTAAGTGTTAGCAGCATAACGTCCAGTTTTCAAGTTTGGCCTGGGAGGATTTTATTGATTGATGATAATGGTCCGGGTCTTTGTTGATTTTCGGGGGACCAATAAGCATCCTTAAATGACTGGCGCGATGCTTGGAGTATGGTAGGCTTTTCTCCTCCCGGAGCTGCTGCCTGGTGGCCGGTTCAGAGCGAACGGCCACCAGGTAGCACAGGTATCCGCTCACCTGTGCTTATACACAGGTGAGCGGATAGACTGAACACAGTGGGCGGCTGCGCATTAGATAATTAATTTAAGTGTAGCTTTACGGACGAACTGGAAAATTTATTTCATATCATCTTGGTCTCAACAAATGGGTGGCGGAGCACACCATGACGACATGTAGCTGGTAGATCTGTTTCTGTGTGTGACGAACGAAGGTGTCAAATCCTGTCGCTAACAAACACAAAAGCTATAAATGTTTGGGCAAGGTGAGGGTTCATCTATTAAATTGACTGAAGATGAATGCATAAGCGAAAAGCTGGAGTATAGACATTTTTATAAGCGTATTTGTGAGTCTGCCTCTTTATTATTGAATTGAATATAATTTCAGATTTTTGTATAACTTTTCTTCAGGTTAACTTAGAAAGTGAGCTTTTATTGTTACGAGTTAATTTTCTAAACTACAGAAAAGTTATTGCTGGCAAGCTCAACTGTGAAAAATAGGACTGATGTTGATATGCAATAGTAATACTGCTGTTACGTTAGATTTAACAATGTTTTATTTGATCTTTTTTTTATCCAATTACTCGATTAATCGTAAGAGTAATCAATGGATTACTCGATTACTAAAATATTCGTTTACAACAGCCCTAAATATAACCAACATATCTGTATTTAAATACACTAATGCAGGTTTTCTTCCTTGGGGACTGTCCTATTGACACAATCACTGAGGTGCAGTGGCGTTTCTGATATGGGCGACATGGGCAACCACCCAGGACTGCATCATGTGAGGGAACCCCTCAGTTTCCCCTCACATGAATGTAACTAGTAAACAAGAATGTAATTAGTAAATTTTCTCAGTGTTGATCACATAAAATGTAACTGCACAACTGTCTGTGTGCTCATAAAGCTCATAAAATGCATATTGTCTGTGGGAAACTTTCATTCCCGCTGTAAAAGAAAGAGCGGGATTGGATCAGCAGAAAAACTCTAAAACAGGTCAGGCTTGATAATTCTTAAGGTGGACAAGGTGTGTAGACAATTACGTGTGTGTGTGTGTGTGTGTGTGTGTGTGTGTGTGTGTGTGTGTGT